TATGATCCAGCACAAAACCTATTTTATATTTTTATTATATTCATAAGATTTAAGTAAATTTTTACATTGCAAAATTAAATAGCATATATCACAGGAACAGACAATTTAATATAATGCTGTCTTCATGAATTACTGATATACTAATGCTGTAAAGTAAAAATGACCAGAAAATTCAAATTATAGAAGAAAATAAGAATGCACATTTATGAGTATATGTTGCTTAGTTTGTTAAACAGATATGTGCAAAAGATTAAATATGCTGAAGTAATGGAGGTATTTTGCCTCCTGTATGACATGAACAAGAGTTGAACACCTATGACTAAGGAAATTGAACATTACGGAAAGAGGACTAACAGTTGATGCTGTGGTATATATCAACATCTCTAGAGGTTGCATGAAATGTGGTTGGTGATCTTCCATTGTGTGTCACTCGTTACAGCCCTTGAAGCTTTATAGAAATGTTAATAAAGAGTGTTAGAAGGAAAGAAATCCACATGTAACTTAGGAAGAAAGTAAAGTAAAATTAAAACAAAATACAGTCAACTCTCGATTATCCGGGATAATTGTGGGGATGGAAATCACAATTAATCGAAAACCCAGTTAAGTCAAATTTTATTAAAAGTAGTGTTGTAATACTGTACCTTCATAATACTATAGGCCTACCTGTATTTAAATTTATTCAACCTCTTTTTTATGTCATCTCATGGCCTATTTAATACTTTTTTTTTTACATTACACTGAAGTATGAATTAGTTATTTCAATCACACTGTTCAGCAACATCCAACACTTTTTACAAATATTCACACTTAACACTTAAAAAAATTTAATATTGTCGTTTGCTTTTTCGTGGCATTTTCCTTCTTACGGATATCCATACGAAGCCTACATAATATTAGCTTGTCACTTAATAAACTGTTCTCTTCACTCACAAGATAGTCTAGTAAGGATTCCAAATGATTAAGAGCAGCACCATGTGATATTTTCTTACTAGCAGCACTGTCCACGTCTTCCTCATTCTCACTTTCGTCCCACTCTTCTGGCTGCACCCCCACTGAACCTATGATTTCGTCACTGCTTAACATTTCAAAGCCCGGCTCTCACGAGTTTCTGTTGACTACTTAACACAACACGCTTCCTCTTACACCCTGACATTTTGCTACACTTGAAGACCGATACAAAGAGACTAACTGGGGCGGTGTATCTGTCCTTGAAACTTTCCACAAATCCTTGCATTCTTTCACCCCTACCCTAGAACATTGTGTTAGCATAATGGGACCAAAAAATGCAGAGCTCGGTTCACACTAGTGTGAAAATAGTGTTACAACTCACCATGTGAAACAAAAGTGAATGAATATTAAACAACATGTAAGCCTCAGAAAAGCCCTGGTTAAGCCGCAAACTGGTTTATCCACCCCTGGATAATCGAGAGTTGAGTGTACACAGTTTTATGTAAAATGAGTTGAGTATATACAGTTCTGTGCTTTATGCATACTGATGAATGAATGAATTAATTAATTAAATAATTTTCCTGGGGAGTAAATCGCGGCCGGCGCTTAAGGCTGACAACCTTACCGCCATCTTTGAGCCAATTGTCTAGATGATGTGAGACCCTAAATGTCTCACAACCCTATGGGCCTTCACAGCCTATGACAGGGATAGCTTTACTTTTACTTTTTTCCCCATTCAAGATGTATACTGTATATTATGAAGTGTTACATACAGGGTGGGCCAGACTCAGTTAGGCAGTTTTTGATTAGGTGTTATTTTTATTGATAAGTGTTAACAATTGCAATGGTTACAAAAATGGAATCGCACACACATAAGTCGTCGATTTTCAAGATGCTGGTCAACCTGGGCACCACCTAAGTCAACGCAGGCTTGCAGACACAAAGCAACGTTTTCACACGCCTTTCTACATATATTCACCGGAACTTTATTGAACTCCTGAACAATCACCTCACGCAGATGTTTCACACTGTCAATGGGATTAGCGTACACCTTGTCTTTGAGATAACCCCAAAGAAAAAAGTCTGATGGGGTGATGTCGGGTGATCGGGCTGGCCACTCCACAGGCCCTCAACGGCCAATCCAGTGTTGAGGAAAAACTTGATGCAAGAACGCACGAACTATATTGGCGAAGTGTGGTGGGGCCCCATCTTGCTGCCACCACAGTTCATCAAAGTTCTCTCTCCTCTGAAGTTCTGGGATGACACTTTCCCTCAGCAACTTTAAGTAGGTTCCCCCATGATGCAACCTTCAAGGAAGAACGGGCCAATCAGTCCTTTGTATGTCACGCTGCCCCACACCATCACTCCCAGGGACTGGAAATCACATTCAATGGTGGCACTGGGGTTCTCTGGCTGCCAAAACACGCAGTTGTGTCTGTTGACCGATCCTGATGTGTGAAATTTGGCCTCATCAGTCCAGACAATATTGCAGATAAGGTGAGGGTTCTCCTGAAACTTGGTCAGCATCAACTCGGTGAACTCAAGTCTCCTGTCGAAGTCATCCTCATTAAGAATGTGAATAAGCCGTGGATGGTATGGTGTCAGCTTCATGTCACTCAAAACTCTCCGCAAACTTGTCCTCGAAATGTCCAGTAAGGCCGACAAATGGCGGGTAGACTTCGATTTCTGAGGAGATGATACCAGTTCCACAGCAACATGTGGTTGTGTGTCAGCAGTTCGGACAGTTCTCGGCTGACCAGGATGCTTGGGATTCAAAGCACTGGCAGTTTCATCAAACTGCTTGTTTATTCGGATGATTGGTCCAGACTCTTCCAACATCCTGCGCTGGACTTCTGATACATTGTTAGTAACTGAGAAAAGGCGCACACATTTTACACGCTGCTCGATAGACAACTGTCTACTGGCCATGATGTTTCCTTGATGCACACTAAGTAGGCAGAGTATTGACCTCATTCACAGCGTACCGTATGATGCTGCCATCTATCGACAACAAAAGGTACTTTCCCATTATCCCGTGTGTTGTTGGCTTGGTTAGTTATTAATGATCAAAAACTGCCTAATTGAGTCTGGCCCATCCTGTATAATAAATGTTTTCATTTACAAGATGTATGTGTACATTGTAGCCGGTCACGATAGCCGAGTGGTCTAAGGCATGTACTGTCTTCGCTCACTTGGAAACCGGGATCGTGGGTTCGAATCCCACTCAGGGCATGGATGTTTAGTTTGTGTGCGTGCGTTTTTCTGTGTTTGTGTACAGGTAGAGACCTTGCGACGAGCTGATCACCCGCCCAAAGAGTCCTACCGAATGTGTAAGATCTAGAAAAACTGAAGTGAACGGAGAAGTTCATGGAGGTAGGCCTAGGCCCACTAGGGCTGAAGTGCTGGGGGGGGGGAATGTACATTGTGGGCAGTAATGACACAAGTGAAATTGCAGCAGGGATGGTGAGGATGACAACGACGACGACGACGATGATGATGATGATGATGATGATGATGATAAATCAGAAGCAGCATACTAATAATACATCAGTAGTAGCTATAGTAATAGTTAGGCTGTTGCTGGTGGTGATGCTCTGGCTTATAAAAACTCCTTTTGTGTTATTGTTGGCTTCATGGGGGATTAGGAAGAGACCAATATACATATTCACAAAGTGACAGCCTGTGTTGGAACTTGCACACAAAGTAATCACGTTGTTTCTTGTAGATTGCAGATTTTGCTGGCTTGAACTGTGCATAAAACAGACAAAACATATAAACAGTTTTACACAGTGTGTTGATAATACACATGACATGCACTGTGCTACCGAGGAACCAGCTTTATTGCAAAGTATCTAATAATGGACGAGTGACTGAGATGCTAGGATTAACTTCATGAAATGTACTTGTAACTCTGAAATTAACATTTTTATATCAGTGAGAGATCAGTTCTCCATTGATCTCAACATAAACTCATCATAAAAGTTGGTTCTTTGCATGAAGACAGTGTTACTCTGCCCAGAACTAAAATTGACTGATCTGGTTTGCATTCTAGCATATTGGAACATGAGTACCCATTGGGTAACTTTTTTTTTTTTTTTCAAACACAGCCAGTAACTCAGTTATAAAGTGACTGTGGATAGTAAGCCTGTACTGCGGTTTCAGATTCAGTTCAGTGCAATAAAAGAGCACTCCCAAGAAATAGATATGGTTCTGGGATAGTGTCAAAAGCTGTATTGAATCCTGACCTGCAGACTAAAGGTAAAAACATATTAGTATTCTTCACTAAGGAAGGTAAGCAGATGGTTTCACAGCTCATATAAAAATTGGGTGTTAAATATGCAGTTCTTGTAACTTCAGTTAGAATTACAGATGATAGAAGTTATTTTACTAGTAACCAATTTTGAATCTTGATTTATGAAAAGAAAATGAGATTGGAAGTAATGGTAATGTTATGAACTATTAATTGAGTTGCTGGTAGTGTTGTCATGTGTCTTCACGTGAGCACCTGGTGATATGACTTCCCCTCCAGTTGCATGGCCCTGCCTCCTTCGGAAGGGGATTCTTGTTTAGATTAGATTACATGCTAATTCTATTATGTTTCTAGTTGTAAGAATACTGTCATGTTCTAAGTTTAACTTCTGTATTTGGTACATACTTTTGGTATTCTTGCTGGATCCACTGTTTGTTAACTTTCCCACTCTGCACTTGCCAGCAGGCTTTACCCAATCCTGATGAAGTTAATTGTTTCTGTTTCCACTGCATGACTTGTGAAGGTTGGGCTGAGTGGGCTGTTAAGTGTAGAACAGGCAAGAGAGTGAATACAGGCAGTGGTGTCTGGTGTTTGCCTCCAGTTTGACATTTTCTTAGTCAGTTGTCATTCAGTGCACTAAATGCCTCTTAGTATATTTCAAATTTTAATTGTATTCAGTCTGAAGTTCATTCTAATTAACAGTAATGTCAAATTCAATTTATAGATAACATTGAATACAGAACTGAGTGTGTTTAGTTATATTAAATATTTGCCTTAACAAATGTGTTTGACAATGTCGCAGGTGAACAATGCCACAGCTCGGGTGCAGACCAAGAAGCCACCTACAGTTCCCAACGGTGAGTTATGCAGTTAGTCTCTTTCTCAAGACAGAGTTGTAATAATTGGAAGAAATGCACAGAGCAGACTGTCATTGATCATTTCACACATTTTTAACTTTCTACGTGACTTGCCAATGTCATGATTTATGTTTCATCATATGCAGTAACTACAATTTTTTTATGCTACATGCAAACAACAGCAAAGCTTCTGATAATAATAGTTGAAGTACACTGTTTCAAGTTCTTCAGATAAACATATTTGCAGCCTTCACTCAGCATTTGCATAGATACACTGTAGATAATGAAATGAAGTGGTGGTCTTTGGTAGAGTATTTCTAGATCACAGCTTTCCTTTTATGTGTAGAAGTCACATTGTTGGATAATTTATTTTCTGTGTTTGAAATTGAAATAGAACTTACATATATGCAGTGTTGAATGAGGTTTTGTGATAATTATGTTGATACTTCAGGTCCACTGTTTTGTGTGTTCAGACTAGTACAAATTTTGTGAATTTGAAATATTTACAAAATATTGCATGTATGTGTCTCTAAATGTTAGTTGTACTTACTCAGTATAACTGTAGTATCTTTACAAAATAAAAAGAGGATTTCCTTCTCTAGTTTAGGGGAAAATTGTGCAACAATAGTGATTGTTCTCTTTATATGTGGCTGTGTTGTTTCTCCTTAGAGGGGCAGCAGGTCCAGTTGCTGCTTTGTAACTAGAGGTCCTTACTTTATCAGTGCTTTACATATTTTTGTTAGTCAACAAAGAGTATCCACTGTACAAGAAAGAATTACCAACAACCCTGTTTTATCTTTGTATAAGATACTGTTGTCTTGATTCAGCTCTACTAGACTGCAGTATTTGAGAGCTTTTGTTGACTTGGTTTCTTTTTCTTTCTTTTTTTTTTTAACACATTTAGTTTTTCTGACTAGGAATGGGACGGTGCCCACACTCGGTGAGAGCTCAGACTTCTCTATCTTGGTGTTGGATTTGATTAATTGGTTGATTGTTGTTGGATTTTCACGTATCTTGTTGTTTTGCTATTCTATTCTTTACCTTTTTTATTTATTTTGTTTTAAATTTGACACTTTCTTCATCGGTGTCTTTATCAACTTTTTTTTGCTGAATTCTTTGGACCAACACTCGGGAAGCTGATTTAAAACGTTCAGCTAAATGCTGAGCAAAAAAAACTCAAACTTTAGAGCCATTTGAAGGTGAATGTGAAGTTTAATTATTTAATGTAGTTTACTGGTGCCAATTAATGTTTTTATTCTAGTTCAAGGTGCTAAATATGCAGAATATACAGTAAAACCAATGTCATTATATACTAATCAGTTCTGATCAGAATGTCTACATCTTATGGTGGCATTGATTTTCTTTGTCGTCTTGGGTTATATATTAAATTGTTTTTTTCTTCACAGCAGGTGTCAGTCTTTATATTGATAGAGTTTCATTCTCTTTAAAATCTTGCCCTTTCGTTATGTTTCTGAGATTGCTGGAAGTCATAGTTTTTCACAACAGCCCTGTTGAAAGATAGATTTTCCATATTAGCTTCCTGGGGTGGGCCAAGCCTGGATGTACTTTCCTGCCAGCAATATTCTTATGATTGGGTGTTGGTCACTAGATTCTCAGCTAGCTCTCTTGGCCTATCCTTTTATATTTGTGTGTGTTGTTTGTGGTGCCACTGAAACTGCAATGCTAAACTGGAAGCAGATGTTTGGTAGTAGTATTGATGATGATGATGCGAGGAGATCGAAGTTTTGCTGTCATAGGTTTTGTATTCTAGATAGTTTTGAGAACATACATAATTATTTATTTTACAAAAATTTACAAAATTTCATACTATGCTTTGTTAGTAATGCAGCAAATCATGGAGAAATTAATATTATTGTTTATCATATGGAAGCTTGTAACATTTGGCATGAGATTAAACATGATATTTTCTACTTGAAAAATATCTCCAGTTTCCTGAGAATCAGTATTCAGATCAGAAAAGACATTAGTCACATGCAGAGCTCTTGCTAAAACGAGAAAAATATTTATTGCTTTAAGTGGTCTGAGCACTAGTGATTGACAAATGTACTGTTTGCACATGATCAGAATACTTTTAATTATACAATGAAAATAATTGATGCAGTGTTGAAGATTGCCATTTAAATTGGTTGTAAAAGTGTTATCCACACCAGAACACACGGGTCCCTCTGTGTTCTTGAACACCTTTGCATTCTGAATGGTCCATTGGAAATAAATTTCACAAAAACACCAACAGTATTGAATAGACCTACAACTTCAGATGTAATGTTTGTGTACTTCTACTTGCTGAAATTCTTCAAATATAGCACGAATGATTTGACTATCACCATGTTCTTAATCATTAGTTTGTAAACAGTATTTAATGTGGAATTTGTAGTTATGTGTATGATCTATCACCATACCAGATTTCATTTGGCCACCATTTTGTTCTTCATTTTGTAAAAGAGGATACATGTTAACCACAGTTGCATATTTTTCGAAGACGTGATACCATTCATAATTTCAGGATCCTGCAATAAATGGTGCTAGTGTTACTGCTACCTCACAAGCTTGTATGTCCAACATGTTGTTATTACTGATTGTGATACTGAAAAGTGTGAGTTTGGGGTGGCCTTCAATGGAATACTGTCCACACTGAATTTCATCATCCAGTGCCTCTTGAGCTGAAACATTCATATAAACAGACAAATATGACTAGCCATATATGGGCATATTTCTGCACATTGTTCAAAGAGTGCATAATAATAGTTAATCTTCTATGGGCACTACAGTCCATGATGAACCTTGACCTCTTTTACTATTGCTCTCTTGGTCCCGATCCTGTGACTTCTCCAATAATAATTAACATGGGGTTATTACTGTTGTAGCCGACGTACAGCTGCCACGAATTTCGCTCGAGCTAGGGTTCTTTTTCTCGGGATACGAGTGCTTCGGAGATGGGAGTGGAACACACTTCGGGGTTAATAAATCCGGGCTCTCCAGAACACCGAATATTGCACTTTTAATTTAAAATTTCATTCAGTGGTTAATATTTGCATTGTCCTTCAAGCTAGCCGCTCCATCCGCCCTACTCGCTACCCTACTGTTAAACACTTCTCTCTTCTCTATCTACCTTTCAACTACTATCCTCCTCTGCTCCCTAAAACCGACTGCCCTCTCTTTACCAGTCCCCCAGTTGGCCTAAAAAACGAAAAAAATAGAAACATGAAAAAAGAAAGCCAAGGGTCGATCCCGGCATCTGACCTACATTCATATTTTTCGAGAAGCCCGTAAACTTTTTTAGGTCTTCAAGGCACGTAAGACCCCTCCTGGCTGGTCTCGCACACGGTCAGTTCATGGGTTTATGATACTGGGAGTAAACGGGATGTTAGGGACAATAGTGGCACCCTTAGCCTAAGGAGGACAATAGCTGAATTACAACTAGACGGTCCCGGGATGGTATCTCGCCGATGGAGCGTCTCTCATGTTATTAAACAATGCATCAGTTGTTCATGCCCTTAGTTAAATAATTTTGGCGAAGGACGTATGGTTACACTATATACCAGTGGTTGGTGTTGATTGTTACTGCTCATCAGACAGAGTGTTGGTGCATTTGACAGAATGTGGAAACATGTAAGATGCCCGTGCAGGATTATGATATATGCCTGTCATTCCTGTATTAAAGGCTCTGATGATATGTTTCCACAATCTCAGAAGGGTGAATTTTAGGTAACTAAAAACCAGAAGGCTTTTCCTTTCAATAACTTACATTTCTGTACTTTTCAGAAATTAATTCGTTGTGCGTGCTGTGGTTTGCCTTCCCACAGATCCTTATAGATACGTGGTATTACTGAGTGTGGATTTTCATGTCTCATTAGAATTTTATAAACATACATAAGAGGAAACCTATGCAAATATACTTCCACTGTGTTTAAATTATTTGTATTGTTTAACGGCTTTTAATGGTGGAGTTTGCATTTATTCTGGATGGTGGTGGTGTTGTGTACCAGCATTTAGTCTTTTCCAGTCTTAACTAATTTGTAGACCCACATGTTTTTCTCTTCCAATATTATGAGCCAAGAAAACCAATGTTCCTATTCCTCTGAATTGCTGCATTACAGACAAAGTTGCCAACCAACTCTGTAGCAGATGTAAACATGCATAAGGTATGCTAGGAAAGTGGTTGGCAAACAGTGGTAATGTTTATAACTACTGTCTGACACTATTACTGTTTCTGTTGTCCCCGCTAAAGGGAGTTGCTTGTGTTTGTGTCGTTCCAGTGTGCGTGCAGTGGCCGGAGGGTAGGTGTCAGCGTGGGGCAACATTCGCTTGCCGTTTGCTAGTAGTTGCTAGCTTGCAGCTTGGTTGGCAAATAAATCGTTGCCTACCACCTCTAAGCAATGTCTTGACTTGCTTTGAATTACCTTTATGTCTACCTCATTGCTTGTGTTGCAATTTGATTTTGCATGTGTTGCTCTGCTATAGACACCATGACTATATCATTCATATAGTATGTTTATAAGGCTCTGCTTTGAGAAGGGGCAGACCTGCACCCTCCCCAGTTGTCAGTATGCCAGTTCCTGCTATTTTCGTGAAAATTGTTGCAGAAGAGTGGGTTATTGAATTGAAAATCAATCAATCTGTTGAACTTAGGATTATATCTAAATCTCCTATTTAAAATTGCAGATGAAGCTAAAGATACTAATTTCATATTTTAATTGAAACTCATGGCTGCCATAACTGACAAAGAGATGAGAGGACACTGCAGTATTCTAAATTGTGTTCCGAGAGTATGTGGTGTTCTGCAGTGAATGTCACTGCTGTGACAGAGATAAGAAAGTAAAAATAACATTCTCTCTAGTCACCCATGAGATCACCAGTATTGAATGTAACTGTACAGTGTCCATCTTATTAGTGTTTGAGACTAAGAAACATGGAAAGATTTTTCACAAGTAACCTACATATCATTCTTAGCAGATTTAAGTGGAATTTTGCCAAGATAATCCCTTGCTGATGCCAGTTTCTTTTAGACACCCGTGTTTCACATAGTATCAATTCCTGTATTCTCAGTATTTACTTGGTATCTCAAATATCAGTGTGCAACAATCTCACTAGCAATGCTAGAGGTCTGCACAGACTGAAATCTTAAAGGCACAATTATGTTGAACTCATCAAACCAATAATAGTAAGCAGGCTGGAGAAGGAATGTGGAGCCTTTAATGTCATTTTTCAAAGGTAGGAAGATTGGGATAGATAGTGGCCCAGAGGAACCACTGAGTGGTAGAGCAAGTCAGGAGAGATAGTAAGGAACCATTGGCTCTAAAAGGTCTGTTCCAAGTGCTAAGGGTTAGGAGGTAAGGAGGAAAGATGTGATAGCTAACAGGAGAGGATGAAGAAAAAATTGAAAATATGGGGGATAGATATGATCAGCCAAATAAGAGGGTGGAAGACGATGGATGCCATATTATTTTTTTATTATTATTATTAGTGGGGTGAGACTGAGTCCACTTGGTACTGCAGCCACTATTGGGTTATTGTACCAGCCCCAGATGATACTTGGTGGTGATTGTGGAGCAGTTGGTGGAATGAAAATTGGCAGGGGAAACCAAAGTACATGGAGCAAACCTGCCCCAGTGCCACTTTGTCCACCACAAATCCCATATGCCCTCACCCGTGCTGCCACAGTGGGAAAAGGATGCAGTAACAAGGGCAATGTCCCTTACAGTTCGATGCAGTGTTAAAAATTGAGCAGAATGTCTGAAGGAAACCCAAAATGTTGTAATACTTCACAGAAGTCATCTAAAATAAATTAAAGCTTTCCTCACAGCAGGTCTTATTATTGTACTCCTCAGAGGCAGCGAACTGGGTGCACTATGTTGAGACATGGGGATGAGTTTGCGTTGTCAGTAATTAACCCTTTCACTCCTAGTATGTCTTATCACTATATCACGTGTTGGCCAAAGTCCACAACTTTATTTACAACTATTATGGAAAGCACTGCACACCATACAAAGCCATTTTTACTAGCCCTGTGAAGTACCTGCTCCACATGACCATGGAGCATGTGCCTCGCTGTGCAGATGCAACCTTTTACATTTCGTAAGCTAGAGGGCAGAAGAATGCAGCCATTGAAATGAATGATGCTTCATTACATTCCCAGTAGATGACTGTGCACCCACCAAGCTTGAATGAGATTGGTGCAAAGAAACCTGAGATTTGAAACTCTAAATTTGCAATACAGGTTTTGTCAATCGCAGCAAGGACGCCATGTTTTTCAGAGATTGACATATGTCGACCGCATCAGTGTAAGGGTTAATATTTGTGTAACTAGGAATCCTGCATAATACATATACTCGTAATATGCATATGGTACTGGCACTGTCAGTGTAAAGTTTCTAGATCATTTCCTACACCAAGTACCTGGTAGCAAGTAATAAATTCGTTTGCTTTATTGTCAATATCTAGTTATTTTATGAACTTGCTGTTTCAGAATACAACAACCCATTTTGCATGTCATTTCTGTCAGTCAAAGATCCATAGACGAGATCCCATGATTGACTGTAATACCTCATTTGCTTCAAATGTATGACAAGATATTTTAAAATACCCAGACATGATGCTTTTCTTAATCATCTCTCATGTCTGTCCCCTTATTAACTGTTGCAGTTGTCATTATGGTAAGAAAATGGCATTAAATGGATATAAATTTGGTTATGTTCTAAGAAACGTCTCTTTCTGATATGGATATGTGGTCATGGTGAGAGTATCCTAAAAACTGGACCCTCAGACTGAACTACATTCATAGGAAAGTATTTTTTTAATAGTCAGTCAAAGTATATTAATGTGAGTAGCAGAGAATGTTATAGCATTGTAATCACTGAACACTAGATTCATATTATGCATGTCTGTACTTCTGCTTTGTGCTTCAGCAAATGCTTTCAGTGTTGGGAGCCCTCACTACCTGGTGACTGGTAATATGGTAACAGTTTTACTGTCTTTGGAATGTCCTTTTACAGCCTTATTATATAAACATCTTGATGAGAAAAGAATTCTGTTTGACTATTTTGGTAGAATCTGTAGAGATCATTAATCATTGTGACCAGATAACAGTCCATTTAAATAGTAGTCTTGAATAAAAATATTAATGCCATCCAGTGTGATTGATAAATTTTTTTTTTTTAATTTCATCCTTCACATGTTTCATTTAGAGCTACCATCGTCAGTACATACAGAAACTACTATTGCAATGTCATCAATATAAAATATTACATCCTTTAACAATTACTAAGATGTGCATGAATTTGTTAAACATTTGTAAAGTATTATAGTTAGCCTGTTTACAAAGTAATGTTTAAAAAGGTTTTGTTAAAATCTAGAACGAATTTGGTTCATGTCTTTATACTTATCTTTAAAGGAAGATGAATGTATTACATGTTGTGGTTATGTTGTTTGAAGAACAGGACTCTTTAGTTTTGTCCAGTTGTTCAGGCCATGCTGTGTTATGAAAGTTTAAAAAAACATTTATCAATCACACTGGAGGGCGTTAATATTCTTCTATAATATTACTAGTGTGAGGGACCAGGAAGAACCAAGTCAAGTAGTCTTGAGCATTAACTTGGTCTGAATAAATGCATTTATCTTACACTCTTGAAATGTGTTTTCCACTGAAGATGAATGTCCGTAACTGAAAGTGAGAGCAGCCCTTTTCATGCGGGCCGAATGGTTATATATAGTTCTTTAGCCTTCAGATGAAATTTTGTTGTTCATAGTGATCACATAAATGATCTGTGGGTAGTAGCAGTGGTGAATCATGTGTGGACTGGTTATTTATTTATTTTATGAATGTTTGTGTATGTAGAAAATTACTGTGTTTTGGAAGTGAAAATTAACTTCAGTATAGAAGCCTAATTTTAAGCCTGACAGAAGAATTATGCCCATTTGGCAGAATGTATATTTTTTTTACTTCTTGTACATGAAACTTGACATCTGCAAGAACATTTAAAGATGTTAATGTTTGTGCCGAAAAATATTTACATAATCTCAGGAACTCTGATTTTGATTAAATAAGTTATCAAGTAATTACTGTATTTTGTATGAATTGTTCTGTTAACTGTTTAATTGACACACACTTGATTTGTAATACTTGAGAATAATATGGATAGCAGAAAATTGAGTTTAGAGTAGAACACCAACTTGCTTCATTAATACTGTATGTGGTAGGTGAATCTTGGTATGTATCTCTGTAATTGTTTCAAAATTTAGTTGCATATTTTGTGATTTATTTTCCCATGAACTGAAAGTTGGTACAAGTTACAAGGTAGTGTTTTTTAATGTAACATGATTTTCTGCTCAGATTTGCTGTCTGTAGAAGAATTATCATCTGAAGTGGAAGACTAATTGGCGTAGTTGATCATTTTGTCATAGTTGACAGTGGTGCATATCCTTACACAGATAGCAGTGTACTGTCCTACGTTGATTAGCCTTGCTTACTGTCTGTAATATCCTGTTACCTTATGTGGGTCAGGCTACCGGCTTCCAGCTGTGCCCTGGTCCTGGCTAGGGGGTACAGGGACCCCTCTCACAACACCTTCCACCTCTACAGCAGCTCCCCTGGTGTTGACACCTCGTACTGCTCGGAGGAGGTACTATTCAACTGAGTTACGGTGTGCCGGGCCTTGTACAGTAATATATAAGTGGGGTAGAAGAGATGCCATTCCACCATATGTATAGTATGACAACGGTTTGTCTCAGTATCCTCATATTTCAAACATTTCTTAGGCCCATAAAGTAAAATGCTGGTAGTTCATTGCAGCTCGCTTACCTCCCAGCCTGCCATTTTTAGCAGTGCCCTAGCTACTGGCAGTATTTCATGGCAAAGAAACAGATGGCAAATAAGCTACGTGTCCGAAAAATAGCACCATTCATTGACTGAGGAAGAAACTACTTGCTCAAAGTACTTTCAGATATAAAAATTATTGTTCTCGTTCAAGTAATCTTTAATGACCGAACTTCTAAATGGTCTCTTGGGTTTGAGGTTGTGGTGGTGGCTGTGAAGTGGCTGTTACAGTCTGGTTAGAGCCTGATGACTGAGTGGAATGTATCACCTTGCATCTTCATGTTTGAAGGGTAAGGCAAGCTAGAAAGCTTGCCGCCTGCATTTTCCTGCTTCTTGTTTGATTTATTCTTTGACCCCAAAGATGAATATAATATGTTCCACTAAAACACTAGGCTGTTTGAGAACTATCTGATGTTACAGTGCACGATAATTTGGACTTAGCACCTATAGAAGATATCATCTGTAGAAAGATGTATATCAGTAAAATCATTTTATCTCTTCATCTTCTAACAGTGAAGATACCCATATATACAGCAATATTTTGATTAGTGTCTGACAAGTTAATCAGTATGGAATTCATATGCAACAGACATTACTGTAGTAAAATTGATATACAGAACATCTATCCATTTTTTCTTTGGAATATTTTCATGTACATGCAATATAACCTGTATTATAATAAGTTTTGCGTTATCCTTGACCAAGTCTTGAATGAGACAAAATATGGTGGATTGGCATCGGGTACCATGTGTTTGTGTGTGATCTCACAGCAGTGTTGGAATGGTGTGACCTGCATGGCTGTCCTAAACATTCAGGCGCATGAATTGGATTTATAAGATTTGTTAAAATGTACAAAGAAATGTGTGATGAATATGCCTGTTTAATGTGACATTGTCTTACAGTTCATGCTAACTGCAGGAACAGTCCACATCAGATTTTGCATATGCATCTGGGACATATGGGCAGTTCCCCTTTAAGGACCAGAAATGAACTTTCTTTGTTTCCCCTTTACTCCAACAGTCACAGAAATTTATTAGACTAATGAAGCCCTCTTTAGAATTCTTTTGAACACAGGAGATTTGGTGTATTAGAATGGATTTATTTTGGATTTTGGCAGTAAAACCCATGAATGAAATTTATTTAAATTATTTTTAAATTAATACTTGAGAGTGACATCCTTATGGTTCTCTATTGTTTTTGAACACACTCTGCGTTTTCTGATGCTATATGCATTTCAGCTTGCCTCAAATTTTATCAAAAGTGTTCTCCTCCACTGCTCAGAAGCAGTGTGTTAGGTGACTATGTTTGCATTAGGCAAAATTGTCAGAAGTAGTACTAAATTATTTTGTGGCGCATATTCTTGTGATCTTGTTTTCCCAACTGAAGATGCTTCAGTACGGTCATAAATGAACATATTTAGAAATCTATAGGTGTAGAATTTTACCAGTACTGGTATTTTTGCATGTTGTATGGCCCAAAGGAGAAGAGCCAGTTGCAGAAGAGCATGAAGTGTATTTTTAATTAATGAAGGGTATATTCCATATAACATTTTCACACAAGTGTGGCATTGGGAAACTTTTTCTTCATACTTCTAGCTGAAGAAATGGCCGTTTTGTGCTGCTATTACAATATCCTCAGCCCTGTCAAAAAATATAAGTAATCAGAGGTATGTCAGAAATGCAAGAAATGTTTGTAGTTTGAGGGGTATGTTGCAAGGTCCAGAGGGTTTGCATGACATAATGACTGAGCACCAGCCCAGGTTGAGACACAAGGCCCGGTGGACTGTTGACTTGATCCCTTTAACCCCTGCTACGTCCTAGACACAGTGAAGGCCTGGTAGCGTGATGTGATGGTGTGTGGGCGTGCTGTGCATGGTCTTGTTTGTGTGTGTCCCAGCAGCTGCAGCGCTGCGCGGTGTGGCAATCCAGCGTGGGAGGGCACGTACCGCATACCCAGCGGCTGCAGCAGCTGCTGCTGCATTTGCCCGTCACCCAACGCCGCTTACTGCTGCAGCTGCTACTGCACTTCATGGATACACACCGTGAGTACCATTTCGTGTCAGATCACTAGATCTCAAGGTAAAACTCATCCATATAAAATATCTTAAATAATACTTGTTGGCAGAAAGGTATACTTGTTTTAAAATCTTAACACAGTCATGCAGGGGCCACAAGGACAAAAGTAAATTCTGTTGGATAGGTTGGAGCTGCCTCCAGACATTCCCTTTAAGACAAAAACACCATGTTATGTGCACATGGGTTGCATATAGTTTTCTTTTGAATTGTTACAGATCATGGCATAGAAAATTAGTAGGATAATTTTTCTGGATGCATTCTGTCAGCGTTTCCCATTTTATTTGACATGGAACCAGTTCATGTACTCAGATTTTTTACTGAACTCATTTGCAGTCTGGTTTCTTCACAAAAGATAGTCTCTAATTACTGCATATGATAATGAAATTATTATTTTGGTTATACTCTCATTACTGCAAATGATAATGAAATTATCATTTTGGTTATAAGAACATGATGGACTATTAATAAGCATTCTGTACTATGACAGCTTGTAACCTTGCAGGTGTTTACCAACATTCAAAGGAAAGCAGAGCGTCTGTCTTCTCAGAATACATAGGCTTATGTTCCTTTGAAATGTTGGTACCTATCCACCAGGCTAGAACATAGTGTTATGATCCTGAGGACCACATTAGGATTCTTCACCTATATGAGAACCCCGTATATTCTGACCTTTCTCTCTCCATGAGGTTGAAATAAAAGTGGAGCTTTATACTCCATGGAGACCATATCAAAGAACATTTATGCCACATGTGGCTTTATGACTGTAAGAAAACACAACATTATGTTGGACTGCTGCATCTTTAACCAGAATACTAGCTTCCTGTTAGGATACCAAAATATGGGAACTGTATTAATGGAAGCTGTGGCCATGTTTATATTGTGACATGTTGACCCCTACCTCCCCAGCGGTATGTGGCGGTAACGTAACGCTCGCGTTACTACGGTAATATGCGAGTTCCCGCCCCGCCACTCC